GAAGATCCAGCAGTGTCAGAGTGACAATTAGGCAACATTTAAATGTTTGATGTTCACTGGAAATAGCCTGTCAGTGATAGCCAAATAATTTAAGGCATGAGAAAAGAAGAAAGCCTCAGACTGATGAGTAACTGACATTTGACCTGCTGCTCATTTTCTACGCTGGAAGCAAGTGCAATTCATATAACAGCTGAAGCTGGTGAAGAAGGCATAAAACACTGCTTTACGGTTCTGTGTTGCCTTACTAATGCCTTAAAAAAGAAATGCCTTATTCATTGAGAAATTAAATAGTTATAATATGTGGCTATAATACATATAATACACATTGATGAGAGGGGTGAATACTTAGCATAAAGCAATTACTATAATCCATAAATGCCACAGAAAACGTTTTCTATGTAACGAAAAAAAGCATAGCTAGAAAATTTTGTACTCGGTAGAATAACAGGGCATGTGCAAGGTGGACACAGGGATAGGTAACCTGGGAGGAATACGGTGTGTAGAAATCTCACCTTCGGCCTTGATGAAGCCCCAATTTACACCCTTCTGAAGAACCCTGTCCATTCTTCAGCACCTTGTTAAGGAAGGATTTGATAAGGCTTAAGCCTTATCAAATAACCTAAGGGCATCTACATATCTGCTTTAAACAGCACCCAATGAAGCTCTTAGCCATGAGTACAAAAGTCCAGACAATTGATCTTATTGGTGTAAAGAAATGACACCATTTGCTGATAGGGTTTTATTTGTGATTTCATGTTGCACTGCTAAGAAGCTATTTCTGGGACCTTGCCAAAGGTCTGATCTACACTTAAAGCTCTGTCAATATAGTTATAAATGTCAAGGATCAGATTTCCTTTCATACCCCCAGGCTAGCATGCACATGCTGCCTATATGACCTTTGCTTTTACGTGCTCAGGCTTTTTGATATTATTTTTTTTCTTAATAATTCTATTGGTCTGAAGTTTGCAGCTGCTCTCACCAGGAGGTATCTCCCTCTGACAGGGAATATGAATCAACAGGACAATTACAGAAACAAATAAACAAAAAAAGAAAAAAACAATGCAACACATTAGCTCTAAGAAATAGCCAAAACAGGATTATGAGGTCCCTTTTTATTTTCTGGAGAGTTTGAACATTAGGTACCAAAATTCTTCTCAGCTTCACTGCATCTGAGCTCATAGGGAATAAAAATACTTGCATACCAAGACCATTTGTTCTTTACTCTTAGATAAGCTAAAGATGAGGAAGTCTTCCTCTTCTGAGAGAAAAGCAAATTGAAACAAGATGTTTACAACCATTGTTTACTATGGATTATACCCTCACCCTGCTTTCTATTAAGAGACTCCCGTTGCTTAAGAAACCAGGTGTTAATCCCTCAAAGCGGATGACATTTTCCAATCCTGCATATTTCAACAAAGCTTGAAGGCACTTGGAGAGAAAGAAAGTTTACATAAGACAGAAAACAGATGTTTAATAAACTTGAGTAATCTGGCAGACAAGTGTGTTTGGTTTCTCCAAAAGACAGCCACAAAAAGGCAGCAAATATTTTTATCCAGAAACCATAAAGAGTATTTGTTTTTAATTAAAGAGACCAGATCCTAAGCAAAAGAAGAATCCTTGCCTCCTTTAACATAATTTCATCTCACCGCAGATGCCTTAAAAAAAAAAAAAAAAAAAACCCACAACTCTGATCTTCTATATAATCTCAGCAGTGTCATTCCAATCAAATCAGGATCAGCAATCCACAGAGTGGGGATATGGTCAGGGACAGGCATCATCTCAGCCATGGTCTGAGTCCCTGAATCATTACCCATTTATGGTAATTGAAATATTGAACTTTAACAGGTCATCACAATAATGTTTTAGTAATCTTTTCTGAAAGAAACAGTGCCTAGGCTCCCCCCTAGATATCTGCATTTGCTTGGAACAAAACATGCAGCTAGCTAACCGGGCTGGCAATCCAAACGAGATGCGTATTAAGGAGCCAGGATTATGGATTCAGGTTTTTATTGGCTTTTTGGAACATTGGAATTTTTGCACATTCTGCAATGAAATATTGGCTTGTTAACAGCGAGCTGAATATGAAAGCTTTTTTATGCAGCCTTTCTTTTGCAATATTGCATCTGCAAAGATGAAAGGCTTCATTCTGGGCTTCTGTTTTTCAAGTCTCCCATACAAGTTTACTCCATAGACTTAATGTTTTCTTTGGCTAAAAAATGTCACTTATGGGTCTACATGAAGCTATGTGGATTTTTTCTTTTTTCTTTCTTTTGCTTGTGAGAAGCTAATTTAATGAGCTGGGAATGTTATTATGTAACTCCAAAACACTAGCACCACAAGCTGGTCAGTAAAGAGCAACCTTCTTCTAGAAGAACAAATGACGTTAAAGTTAATTTACTTTTAAATAGGAGCCCAAAGAACAGAAGCACTGCGGTTGGGATGGAAGTAGGTCACACTTTTCTGCTCTTTTACAGTGTACAGAGAAGACTCCAAAATCTGAAGGATTCTGTTCTAATAAAACCAGACCATTTGCACAGGATAAGAGGAAGGGGGTTGCCCCACTGCAGGCCTGTTGAGTCTTCTCTCCTGGAAGATGATTTAAAAGCAGTCAAGGAAAACACCACATGCAAAGATCCCTTTGCAGTTTTAACTGATAGTTGGGCTGAATCTAGAACAAAAGGGCAAACTAGACAGTCAGTCACGTTTGTTTTATTTCTTTACCAAAATTCAGGAGGGGAGAACACCAGTATTTTTTTTTTGCTTCGTTTTTACATGGAACTCAAGAGCAAATAATAAATTGACATAACTTACAATTTCTTACCTTCCTATAAAAGAAAATCACAGAATTTGCAGTAATAAATCAGCTTAAAATCTGGCCCTTATGCCAATAGGGAAAAAGATGACCAGCAAAATCCTGAAACTGTCAGAAACACAATATCTTCTTATTTTATACTTATTTCATATTTGGAATATTATTTTCATAAACATGACAATCAGGAGCTGCAGTTTTGGAAAGAGTAGATCAGACATTTACTGGTGTAAAACGCTCTTAATTCTCCACCAAAAATAAGTCCACAGATGTGCTTAGGCATATATGTTTCACATCCTCTGCCCACATCCACACTTGCTGCCCAAAATATTTTGTTGAAATGGTGTCAGTTTCTTTTTCTGTGTATACTGCAACAATCTGGCTAAAAACAGCAAGCTTGTAAATGGGAATATGGGTTTTCCAACTTGAATAAACAATCCAGTTTAGATGTAATAGAAGTCTTACAGTTTTGTAAAATTTATGCCTTTAAAAGGAAACCAAAAATGATGTGTATAGTTCCGTTTGACTACATATAATTTAAGAGACTCTACCATCTAAGAGTCCTACAAAATACACCAAAAAATCCAATTTTAAAACCAACTGGACTCTGCTGGAATAGATGTAATTATGAAATGAAAGCCTCATAAAGCATTCTTATTAAAGTGATCTAAACAGAAAGGTGTTGAAGCCCAGGTCTTTTCCAAATATCGCTAAAGGCTAAAGAACACAGACTAACAGACTAACAATCTAATGCTGAAGTTGGAACAAAACGCGCTTTTCTCAAGCTGCCAGGAGCAAGGATGGAGTTATAATGGTGTACTGCATTCATCTGCTACTCGTGTTCGTTTCCGAACAACTTCCCAGAAGGATCCGGATGTCAAAATAATCCCTTGTGTTTGTTAAAGATGAAGCCCCTCATTTCCAAAGAGTTTTAGGATGGTGAAGCAGCATTCAAGAAAAGAAAATGTCATCTGTGGGATGATAAGGATATTTGTGCTACATATGATAAGAAGCATGTATTTAATTAACATCTAATGATTTAAACTCAGCTTTCTTGGGCCTCAATGGACATCTGAGCACTGTCAGTTATATTAGTTACACATGAAGTATCATAGACCTCAGTTACATGAGCGTTTTACTTTATGACAATTCAGTTTGCAAATACCTGTCTCAGTCCTTGACAATACATGAAGTTCTGAAGCTGAACACATAGGACTAGTTGGAAAACAAAGTGCAGCATGGAAAGCACAAAAACTTGCAAACAGGTAAAAAATTAACTTGTTAGTAAGTTTGCTTTTTTCCTAATCAGAATTTTTAATACCCAGACAACATTTTATCACAAACTATAAGGACTTTCACAGAGCATTACACATAGAAGATCCATTTACCTCGTTGGTAAATCCCCATTTTGCAGAAGGGAAAACTGAGCCAAAGAAGGCATGGTGGTTGCCATGGCTACATAAAATGCTAGTAACAAAGGATGAAATTTGAACTCGAGTTTCCAGTTTCCTATTCACTGAACCCTGAGAACTTTGAAAAACATACGTTCCAGTACATTTCCATAACAGCAACACCCTTCCGGCCCCTTAAGTGTTAATTACTTTAGGACGCCATGTTAAAATCATTAGTGGTTACCAGCTCTTAGATAGTATAAAAGAGAGTTGGTCTTCAAACCAAAACTAATCCAGACTAAATCTTTTGATCATGCACACAAAAGCGGCAGTAATTCTATTCCCTTCCTTGGCGAGCACAAACCAACATTAATTTCAACGGGCACCGAGCGTACAGAGAAACTTTAACTGGGATTGCTTTGATTCCTTCCTTGCACTCAGCGCGTGTGTGAGCAATTGGTGGCTGTAAGAGTGATACAAATTAGCAAAAACTTTGATGATTTCAAGTCAACCTTCTAAGGTCTTGCCAAGGGGAAAAAAATCCCTGTAGAGCTGGGGTTTACTGGATCAAGGGGAAAACAGCACCAAGAAAAAAATACATAAACTGTTTAGAAAGTGGAATAAGCCACTGATACAATATTTTGGAGAGAAAAAGACACAAAATACCCTTTTGACTTCCTTTGAAGCTATTCAAACAGAAACAAGAACTGCAATTTACAATTTTTACAATTCTCTACCAGTGTTCAATATCATTCTATTGCGCCACCACTTATTTAATGCCGATTGATGCAACAATCATTTTCTTCACAACATGAATTCACTGGCCAGCAAAGAATCACAGATTTGCAATAAAACCAGAACTGGTTTGAAATCATCGACTTCTAGAAATCCCTGGAAAATCTTCAGCCCCCCAAGCCTTCTTGTACTTACCGGGATGTCAAAAGTTTCTTGCGTATCATCCAGCATCTGGATTTTGATGGAGACGAGTTTTCCCGGAGGTGTCATAGGTGGCTTTTGTCCATGCTCCAAGGTACTGATTCCAGCATTTTCCTGTGCTCCTAACCGGGATCCTGCTGTTGGTCTCTGCTCCGTTTCACCCATGTTTAGAGAAATGTGTTTCTTATATCTAGAGAAAGGAATAAGGGCAAAGAAAACCATGTCACTTATAAATACGATTTTTTGGACATGAGAATTGAGCATATATGCTTAGAGTTGATAAACTGTATTTCTGCTAAAGAAATATTCTACTCTGAAAAAGGAGTAGAGCTACAGGAGTGATTCGGAGTGATTTTTTTTATTATAAGCCACAGTTTTGAACTTCACTGAGTTCCAGGATCGCTAGTTTTACTTGTGAGATGTTACCCATCAACACTAGAATTTTATTTCACTTTTCCCCCCCTCAACCTTTCGACACTCTAGCTGCATTTCTGATAAAACCTGCTGCTGCTGTCTATTTGTCTTCCTCGGTAAGTGCATTTCCGCTCCCCATGACTTTTATAGGCTGATCAATGACCATTAAAAAAACATGCAGGGAACGCATGGAAACATAATGGAAACATAACTATCTGGCTGGGCAGATGTGCAGGCAGAGTAGTGCCAGTCACAGCCTGGTTTTAACTCCAAGGCTAAAAATATCGGGAAGCCGTGGTAAACACAGAGAGGACAACCTAGCCCATGCATTGGTAAAATTAATTACCAGCTCTATGGCACCATGCAATAAGATACCAAGTCCCTCCCCACCAAGGATGGAATGAAAACAATATTGTCTCCAGCAGAATACACACAGCGCGCTATTTATTACAAATTACTCTCCCATTCTTTAACTAATCTGTCCCCACTGATTTTCTACTAAACACAGAAAGTGGCTCGGAGTACAAACTTTAAAAGCAGTACTTGCTCTAAGAAAACAACAACAATATAATTGACACAGCCAATGAAGCCAGCCTCAAGCTGGCAATTTTTGAATCTTTGTAATTAAACTGTAATATCTTACCCACTAGGGCTAGAAAGATACCTGATGAGAGTTACCCAAGTGCAAGATAAATATTAAAAAGAGGCAAATCCATTTCATAATTACTAATCAATTGGCACTGTAATCCAAAATGTAAAAGGAATCAATTGCATTGATTCAACCCCTAAAATTAATTAATTAAATTAAAGCCTTTTTAGGAGACAAGAAATGTCAACAGCAAAGCTGCAGTAGGAGGCAGCTGCTCCAAGAAGGAAAGAGAAGAAGCTCTATCAAGACTATTTAGAAATAACTCCAATTTTCCTGCATGAAAAGTACAAATGCACATTAAAAAAAAGAAAATAGCATGTGTTCTAAGTCTGGAAATGCTGTTGCACACAAAGATTCTGATCCATATCCTTGTTAGGTCAAAAGCTCTTTTATGGGCTCTCCTAAAGCCACCATGTATTGCACACACACCAATACTGAACAAAGGACCTCTCCAAAAGCTTTATTACTACAGCAGTTTATGACTAGGCAAATGCATTTAAAATAGATGAAGAAGAAGTCAGTTCTATTTATCAAATCCTAAGTGTAAGAATCGACCCAGCACAGTTCAAGTGACAGCATTAAAGTAATCAACATAAGGAAATACTAAAAAGCCTCTCTGCAACCGTTCATCTGACTAGGGCATCTAGTGACCCACACACATACAGGCAGACCAATTGACTTACTTAGTGAAACAAGAAAAAAAAGGCCCAAAATTAGGAGTCAAAAAAATATAGATGAAAAGTACAAGCCCGGCCACGCAGAAAGCTGAGAGATCTTTCTATTATTATCAACAGCCAGTAATATAGAAACTCTTCTAATATATGTACTGAACCTATCAGTTACATGTGCAAACTTCATCTTGGAAGCAGAGCTCTAATAAATACTGGCTACTGTGACCACGTGCATCGGCCACTTACCAAATTAAAAGCAAACCTCTCCTCCTTTTAATCTACCTATCTCAAAGTATTAGCATGCTCTACTGAACTTTTTTTTTTTCCTGCACAACACTAGGCTCACTATGCCACTTCCATCAAATCAGCACAACATATTTATTTTGCTTTCATCCAAAAGCAGCCTTAAGAATTACCACAATTACGCTCGCTAAATAAAGCCGAACATTAGCCAAGCTGCAAGCCCTTCTCCAAATTGCTCTGACTTCAAAGACCAAGAAGGGAGGCTGCAGAGTGCACAGAACATGGATTAAGCAAAACTGGGAGGATTAAGGAACTAGTGTCCATCGCAGGGAGGAGGAGGCTCATCAAGGTGGGAAAAAAATTGGACAAACGTAAAACCACGCTACTGGAAATAAGAGGTTGAGGATTTGGGGAGGTGATTAATGGAAAAGAAGCAGGAGCCACCCTTGTTGCCACATCTCAGATGGGGGCACAAAGTAAGTGGAAGCAAAGAGCCCAAGGGGGAAGCCAGGTGGTGCTAAATAAAGCACTCATCTGAGCTGGCACAACCCCAAATAGGGCCAAAACTGTTTCATAAACTATAAAAGCCATGGCCAGTAAATGTACTTGTCTCCTAATGAGATGTTAACAATTTTTTTTATGCAGATACTGTGTGTTTAACTCAGAACTGCCAGCTTTGTATGGACTCATGCAATAGCTGGACGAAGGCCAAGATCTGGTCCAGCGTAATCCCGCCTTCCTCCTCAGCACTCAAAACAGCCACTGAATGAGGGCATTTTACAGCAGTAGAAATCACCAGGCAAACAGAGGTTTCCATGTCTTCTTCTTTGGCAGGAAGAAGAAACAATCAACTGGGACCCGGGAGCACAAGCACATCTGTTTGACAGGCAGGCAAGAGAAGGAGAAAGGTTACAAAAAAAACTTAGAAATATTGAGGCTGAGGGAGGAGAAAAAAAAAAGGCAGAGAAGGTAGGCAGAACATATTTTGGAAGAGATGCACCTCTAACCTGTGAGCTACTCTGTTTTTTATACACCAGGTAACGAGGGTCAAACACCTCACGCAAAGTGCCGCTGGAACGCTGCTGCTGGGGAGAGCAGCACACAGGGACGAGGCCCTTCGCGCGTTTTCGGAGCGCTGCGGAGAAGGAAGCGGCGTCCCCTCTTCTCCGTCAACTGGCAAGGGAAGCTAGGGCATGGGGGGATGATGTGACCGGCCTTAATGTCACCGAGCAGAGCAGTGTCTGAGCTGCAAACGAAGCCGAGGCCTCCCAGACACCAGCCTGGCGCCATTTTGTGCCAGGGAAACAGTTGGGAGAGGTTAATGGAGTCAGTGTAAAACCAGATGGAAAAACTCACATCGACTCCATAGTTTATAAACAGCAAGAGCTATGAAGGCATCAGAGGACTGGGGGGTTTGGGGGGGGGGGGGTTTTTCCAGATCTTCCAAAGGTTAAACATGGAGCAGGAAAGAGAACAGAAGAGGGACAATTCTGGCAAATTACTAGCATGTACTTCTAACTCCCAACTTTTTGTGAAGCTCTTGGACCACTGAGAGGATTATAGTGAATATGAGTCTGATAACACACCTGGAAAGTACACGTTTCAGTTTGAAGCGCCATCATGGGGGAGGGGAGCGGAGAGAAAAAAGAAAATTCAACAAGTGGGAATAAGTTTAAGGAATCAGAATAAATTAGTTGTGAGGAAAGACATGGCGATATACACAATTTCAGTTTGGATGGCTGAGAGAAGCTTGAGCAAACCCAGCTGCAAGACGTAAGACTGCACCAGCCTCAAAGGCCAAATCCACAGTCTGGTTTATGGACAGGGACCATGTTTTCACACGATGTGCCGATTCTTTGTCTTTCTTCTTCCCTCTCGGCTGGATAACAGCAAAATACGGTTCAACGCATGGCTCTACCAAAAGCACCTAACAGAATTGCAGTGCCTTCAAATAAGGGAAAATTCTGCACTTGCGGGATAAATGGCCAACAAGGCTGGGCTTTCCTTGTTCTACCAGACTGACCATGAAATAAAAGAGCAGGTTTCCTGAAAAAGGCAAAAACAAAACAAAAAGGAAACCAAGAGAAGAAGAGCAATAGGAGTGAACCCAAGCACAGCCCGAAGCCATTGGGAGTGGAGGGAGGGTGAGCAGCGCTCAGGCTTTTGTCCCACCTAGTTCCTGCAATTCCATGGCAGAACCAGACCAAGAAAATAGAGCGATTAAAAATATTAGAGCTGTTCATAGAAACATCATCAACACTATTTCTGCTTAAAAAATGTAATTTTTAAAATGAGTTAAGACAAATCAGTGCAAACCAAACAAGCCATCCCCAGCCCTTGCTCAGAGATGAAGTCAGCTATGATCCTGGCAAACGACAATAACCAAAATTCATTTCCCGAGCTGAAGTCGCCACTCATCGAGTGGGGCATCTGTGCTGAAATACCAAATCTTGACTAAATTTACCATTTCTGAAAATGAAAAGCAAGTGTGTTTTGTAGGAATGGGAAGTCTAGAGCAGAGAAAACTTTTTTTTGAGAGCGAGTGCTTTGAGGTCGTTGTGTTGTTATGGCACATGTTGTATGTTATGTGTTTTGCAGTTCCTCCTGGGAGAATTTTGAGAATTTCTCAGGAAACTTTATCTACGAGGTCTGATTTTCTTAAGGTACTAAAAAAAACCCACAAACAGCTGTCTCATTACCAAAAAGTTCATGCTTCACATCATTTTGAGACATCACATGCCATTCCACACTGGGTCCTAACAATGAAAACATACATTAGAAACCTGACATATCCAGAAGTGTTTCATTAGGCTAACGGAGCAGCATTTTTGTACTCTGCAGCCTATACCTAGCACTCTGCAGACTACATCTAAAGTTTACAGCAATAAAGAGATGTCCTCTGGTAAGACAGAGTATTCACAGTAGAAGAAAATACATCCTCTATCATGAAGTAAATATTGGCCACAAAGCTGCCCATCTCAGTCAGAGGCAGTCTTATCCCTTGGCTTTTTATGGCATATTCGAGAAGATGGACTAAGTGCTCAGATATGTAGAGCAATCCACTATACTTATATGATGATATCAAATGTACCACAGACATTTTGAATACAAAATATCACTTTGAATTCAAAACTATGAAACCAACCTGAAATTCAGAGACTTAAGTGGGCACATAACTTTACAAGTAAAGACAAACTTTCTGCATACT